CTGGGAAGGTGGCTCAGTGGTAGAGCGCTTGCCTTGCATGCTTGAGGCCCTGGGTTCGATTCCTCAGCACCACATAAGCAAAAAGAAAAAAGCCGGAAGTGGCGCTGTGGCTCAAGTGGTAGAGCGCTAGCCTTGAGCTGAAGAGCTGAGGGACAGCGCCCAGGCCCAGAGTTCAGGCCCACAACCGGACCAAAAAAAAAAAATTTTTCAAATGATTCAGGGGAAATATGACAGAAAACTAATGTAAAATGTTTGTCAGAAAATAAGGATTAAGAGATAAAGTGGAAATCTTTGTTAAGTTTTTGCTACTTTCTATTAGCTTAAAATTATTTCAAGATAAAAAAGTTGTTTATCTTAGCAGACATTAGTTGTACAAGGGGGTAGAGAACGCATTGTGACACGTCCTTCCATATACAGACCAGAGCCGCCCAGGCAGGAAGTTCTGTCAGACTCCTATCTCCAACAAACCACCAGAAAACCAGAAGTAGAACTGTGGCTCAAATTAGTAGAACACCAGCCTTGAGCAAAAGAGCTCAGTGACGGTGCCAAAACCCTGAGTTCAAGCTCCACAACTGACATACACAAACAAATACTTAAAAAAATTTAATGCTATCTTTGGTTGGTGCCTGTGGCTCACACCTGTAATGCTAGCTACTCAAGAGACTTAAGATCTGTGGATTTGGTTGGAAACCACCCAGAAAAGTCCTTGAGACTCTTATTTCCAATTAACTACCAAAAAAGCTGGAAGTAGAGCTGTGGCTCAAGTGGGAAAGTGCTAGTATTGAACAAAAAAGCTCAGGGACAACATCCAGGCCCTGAGTTCAAGCCCCTAAAAGTCTTCTGTTTCCTGAGTAAGGTATGAATCACCCTGCAGAAGTGGAGTAATACTATGTAAAGGTAAAGGCTCCTTGGTGATTCAGAATAAGGCTTATTTCTGTTTGACAAAGGAATAAAAAAGAGCAAGAGTGTGCCACTTATTTCTTCCATAACCTCAGCCTTTGCTTGCTTTTCTTGGCTTTTTGTTTCAACAAATTTAAATTTGTTTCAACTCAAAACAATAGAGACTTCAATCAGATCTAAAAAGGAAAAATGAAGAAACCTGAGTTTTTTTGTAAGGCAATCATTCAAATGTTAATTAGATTCCTGTCAGCCTTTTGAACTTCCTCAAAGGATCATTTTTAATTCCTTAGATCTCTATATTAGTTGTACTTGTGTAATGGAGTTTATTTTTTCAGTGTATTTCTAGATCTTGTCTCTTTATGACCAAAGAATGAAGTCCCAATTTATCAGTTGCTTTAGAGACTTGTTATCTGATGGCCGAGCTAATATTTTTTTTGCAGGGAGTGGTGGGCAGTGCTGGTGTTTAAACTCTGGACCTTGAACTTCTTAGGCAGGCATTCTACCACTGAATCTCACTTCTAGCCTTTTTTGGTGGGGAGGGGGGTTGTTTTGCTTTGGAGGTTTTTTTGTTTGTTTGTTTGACCCTACTTGTTTTTTGAGATAGGATTTTACTACCAGTCCCAGGATTTCTCTTGAAGTACAGTCCTTCAGGTTGTCTCATGAACTTTTCTGCCCAGGCCAGCCTTGAACTATGATCCTACGCTGATCTCAGCCTCCCAAGTAACTAGAATTGCAAGCATGAGCCACTGGTACCTGGTTGCCAAGCTGGTATTCTGTTTTGAGGAGCCTTCCTTGGATTTTTACCCAGAAGTCTTAAGGGAAAATTATGCAAGTGTCTATATTGTGCTAGACATCTGTGCCCAGTTTCATTTGATTGTGACAAAAACTATGTGGTAAATAGGGTTAACCTCTTTGCTGTGGTGGTTTTGATATGGTTCAGTATGTCTCCAAAGATTGTTATGTTGTAAATTTGGGTCTCCATTTTGGCAATGTGGAGATGATGAACTTTTAAGACATGGGTCCTAGTGAGGAGTCCTTAGGTCATAGAGCTGCCTTCAGAAGGCATTGGGGTAACTCCCAAGTGACCCTGTAATTTGCAAGTGGGGGAGCCCAGCCCCTGAATCATACTCTGGCTTCCTGTTTGGCTATGTGATCTTTCTCCTACACATGTTCCCACTATAAGGAATATCTACTCTGGGGTCCTTACCAGAGGCTGATGCCAGTCCCCAGATGCTTTAAACCTCCCAACTGAACTCATTAAACCTCTCTTAGGGGAGGGGAGAGTTCTGAGGTTTGAACTCAAGGTTTCTCTCCCTCCCTCCCTCCCTTCCTGCCTCCCTGCCTCCCTCCCTCCCTCCCCCCCACCTCTCTCTCTCTCTCTCTCTCTCTCTCTCTCTCTCTCTCGTCAGTTGTGAGGCTTGAACTCTGGGCCAGGGCACTGTCCCTGAGCTCTTCAGCTCAAGGCTAGTGCTCTACCACTTGAGCCACAGTTCTACTTTCAGTTTTCTGGTGGTTAATTGGAAATGAGAGTCTCATGGACTTCCCTGCCCCGGCTGGCTTTGAATCAAGATTCTCAGATCTCAGCCTTCTGAGTAGCTAGAATTACAGGTGTGAACACCAGCTCCCAGCTCTTAATTTCTTATTAGTTAGCAAATCATTTTCCCTTACTTAGCTTGCAAGTTTAAGAACTGTTGTAGTTTATACCTTTATGAATTAAACTTTAATGAAAGGTCTTTGAGAAGTCCTATGGAAGTTGTTAGAAGTGTTTTTTTGTTTGTTTGGGAGTTTTTGTTTTTTGCCAGTTCTGGGCTTGAACTCAGGGCTTGGGCACTGTCCCTGAGCTTCTTTTGTTCAAGGCTAGTGGTAGAGACACTTGAGCCACAGTGCCACTTCTGGCTTTCTCTGTTTATGTGGTACTGAGGAATCGAACCCAGGGCTTCATGAATGCTAGGCAAGCACTCCACCACTAAGCCACAATCCCAGCCATTAGAAGTTTTTTATGCCGAGAAATAAAAGCAAGATAGCTGTCCTGTATTTTAGAGTTGTTCTTTCTTATAGCTGATTCTCTACCACTTGAACCATGACTTTAGTACAATTGTACTTTCTATGAAAAAGATGGTGTAATCACATGTGTATTTATATGAACCTTCATACCTGCTAAGAGAGTTCCAAAGAAGGCATCTAATAGATAATCTTTATTCTGTAAGAATGATAGAACTGATGGAAGATGAGCAAGAACCATGTACCTTGGAAGCAAGGTAAGCAGTTGAGGGTTCGATGAAATATTTTAGCTTGGAAATATTTTAGTTTGCATCTTTTTTTCCTTTTTCTGGAAATGAACCCAGGACGTTGTACTTGCTGTGCAAGTACTTTGCCACTGAGCTACATACCAGCCCTAGCTTGTACCTTTGATGATGGTAAAACAGCCAGTGCTTAGAAATAGATTGATAACAGGATGATCATTCAGAGAATCCTTATTTCATTTCTCTATGTTTTTTTTTCCATTCTTGAACCTACAAGGTTTTGTTTTTTTTAAACATCTTGGAATTGTGGTTTATAGAAATAACATTGTAAACAGAAATTGAGTAAGACCTAACAATTCTCATTAAGCTAGATGTTTCTTGTATTACCTTATGCCTAGTGTGTTTGGAAGGAAATAGAGAATAAAGATGAATAAGAACATATGCTTTTTCTTGTGATTCATTTAACCTAATATAGATTGAGTTAGGGAGTACATCTCTAAAGGATAGGGATAATAAGCTAGGTAATCTAGCCTACATCTTCAACAACCTTATTGCTTCCCATTGAGAAGTCATAGACATAAGAAAAATATTGAAGACATGGTATTTTATTTTAATTAGTGTTTTGAATGAGAACAAATAGCATATTTTTTAATTGACAGATGATGTTAATCTGGGGATCTATATTACTGATAAATTGGGTGATAGGTGACATTTATTTAAAAAACAATGATCTGAGTCCATTTGAACAGGGTACCATATTAATTGCTAATTCTAGAAAATGTAAACAAACTCTTTTCCTTTACTTCCCTCCAAACAAGAAAGTTAAATAATACAGTAACCCTTTTGAATCTTCAGAGAACTAGTTCCTCCCCGTCTCAGCCAGCAGATGCTTAAGTTCCTTAATATAAAATGGCATAATATTTACACATAACCTATGCATATCCTCCTGTGTGCTTTAAATGATCTCTAAATTGCTTAGAATAATAGTAAATGCAATATAATTTTCATACTGTGTTGTTTAAAATATAATGACAAGGAGAAGTTCATACATGTTTGACACAGATATATTTTTGGAACATTTTTTATATATTACTTACTGGTTGAATATGTAGATTCAGAAGAACCAGTTATATACCATTCAAAGTGGTTTCTAGCTGGGCGCCAGTGGCTCACATCTGTAATCCTAGCTACTCAGGAGGCTGAGATCTGAGGATTGTGGTTCAGAGCCAGCCCAAGCAGAAAGTCCATGAGACACTTATCTCTAAATACCAAAAAAACAAAAATGGAGTTATAGGTCAAGCTATAGAGTGCTAGCCTTGAGCAAAAAAGAACTCAGGGACAGTACCCAGGCCCTGAGTTGAAGCTCCAGGGCTAGCATTAAGCAAACAAAAAAAGTGGTTTCCAAAGCACATCTAATGATGTAAGTTATTTTTATTGTATTTGAAGAAAGCAAGATACAGATTTATAGTCAACATGTATGATTATATTCACAATGTCAGCTTTGAGACAACTCAAGTTTGTTTCATATATATGAGAAAACAGAAAATATTACAGTTTTAAAGCATGTTTGCAAGTGGTTTTCTTTTCATTTTGCCTGTTTATTTCCAAATTTTCTACAGAGAGCATGGATCTTTAATAAGTCACATTGAAGACTTTCACTTTTTGATGGCTTACCTGTAGCCTAAGAGTTTATCAGTTTATATTGTTGCAGTGATTTCATCTTTTGTCTGTAACTATAGTCATCACATTGTACAAAAGTCACAGTCAGCTGTGGTGTTCTCAGTGTGTACTGTTACCTCACTCCACTGCTACAAATTCATTGGATCTGTTTTTATGTTTTTTTACCCTTTATCAAAGGTTGAATTGATAAAAGGGAATTTACAAAGTGTTGGACTTACACTTCGTCTTGTTCAGTCAACTGATGGGTATGGTGGACATGTCATAATTGAAACTGTGGCCCCAAACTCACCTGCTGCAATTGCAGATCTTCAGCGTGGAGATCGACTCATTGCCATTGGAGGTAATTATGCCAATATGTGCTATACTTTACATATATAGAGAAACTAAATGTAGAATTTGTCATTTCTTCCTGCTTCCTTATTTCTATACCATGTTACTTTTTGTTGCTGTTACTTTTATAAGGAAAGAAAGCAATAAGCGTAGTGTGGTGCCTCAAACCTATAATCTTAGCTAGGAGGCAGGGATTGAAGTTTAAGGCTAGACTAGGAAAAAAAGTTTCAAGACTCCATCTCAACCAATTGCTGTGCTGAGTGAATTGGATCTGTCATCCCCAGAGACATAGGGAAGTACAAGTAACAGAACTGCATTTCAGGCTGGCCTGGGCATAAGAGGACTCCCTACTCTGAAAAAAAAAAAAAAAAATAGAAAATAGGGCTTGAGTAGGTAAAGCACAAGCCTAGCAAGCATGAGGCCCGGAGTTCAAGCTCCAGTATACAAAACAAAATAAAAAATACTAAACTAAGCAAAAATCTGAAGAATTTCTTTAAAATGTTCAAATTTGTCACTTCAGTCTTGTTATACTATAAATACTTTCAGGCCACTGTGTGATTTTCCTTCCCATCCCACCTTCTCTATATTTTTGTTGACTGTGAAAGTCGACCATCACCCTTCTGTACCACAACTTCTATCACCACTCTGAGCCTAAAATCAGCAGTATTAACACTTGTACCCACATTGGTTCAGACAATAGAGGCGGGTTATTTGCTTGAATTTGTATGCCTAAGCAGTAGGGTGAACTATGCACAGCAGTAAGAGCAATGCACAGCTTGAAGTACCTACCCACCCATTGTAGTAGGCTAGTCTAGAGATTTCATGAACACATGATTAGTCACAGCTGACCTTTTAAAGGCACTGTGATGTGTTCCTCCACAGCTCAGACAATAAATAAGGTAGAGTAGTTCCCAAATCAGAGAGCATTATCAATGGTAACATGTCACTGAAACTTGTCTTTGACTCAAATCCATTGTAACAATACAATAGTAAAGAATGACTTAGTTACACACTTACAGCTCAACTAAGATAGTATCTTCACATAGATGTCCCTCTGATCATGGCACAAAACAGGGCTTCTGTCACTTTCATGTATATTTCAGTTACCCAGCCTTGGTATTCAAAAGGGTGTTCCAGTTCAGAAGGCCTGGGGTTGGACCCGAGATTGTGCATCTATAACAAGCGCCCACATGATGCTGGTACTGCTGGTCCCTAGACATTAGGAAAGGCATGGACTAGATCTCATCCATTACATTGATTCCCCCCTCAACATCCCCTCAGCTGAAACTACAATTCAGTTTTTCAGTTTTTATATTCACATATGCCCTGTTTGGGTTTTACCTATATGAGATTTTTAATGTCCCTTTTAGGATTTTGTTTTCATTACTTAGTAATAAATAAATATAGTCTATTTCTTTTAATACATCATAAACTACCTAAGGTCAACAGATATTTCTCAAAAAATAAAGCTGTAGATAATTGCTTCATTTATGTATTTTTAAAATATTTAGCAACAAAATTGGTAACAGTTGAAATAAGTAAATTTTTATTGCAGTAACTTAGGTTTTTCCTTTTAAATCCTTCATCAGGGGTGAAAATTACATCAACACTGCAAGTATTGAAGCTTATCAAGCAGGCTGGTGACCGAGTCCTGGTATACTACGAAAGGCCTGTTGGTCAGAGTCATCAAAGCGCAATGCTGCAGGAGAATTTTGGCCATTTGGAAGAAAGCTATTTGCCAGGCGCATGCCAACCAGGCTATGAGGAGGAAGCTGCCGGGTTGGCAGTTGATGCTGAAAACAGAGACTTGGATTCTGAATTTGAAGACTTGGCCAGTGATGTTCGAGTACAAAATGAATTCAAGGATGAGGCACAGTCTTTAAGTCACAGTCCCAAACGTATTCCCACAACACTTTCTGTTAAACCACTTGGCGCTATATCACCAGTTTTAAACCGTAAATTAGTTGCAGGAAGTCATCCACCGCCACCAAAACTTCCATCCAAAGAAGGAAGTAAACCATCAGCCCTAAAACCTTCTGAGGTAACAGACTCAGCACAAGTGTCAAAACCCACCCAAGGACCTACTTTCAAACCTCCTGTGCCACCACGACCACAACTGAAAGTTCCTTTGCCTTCTGCAGACACCCCCACTCAGGCAGAACCGGATGTTGTTGAAAAGCCAGAAAAGGTGCTGCCACCTCCCCCTGCAGATAAATCTGCTGAAAAGCAAGCAAAGAGCATGGATCATGTAGAAGATGCACCTCCATCTAAGCCATTTTCAGCCAAGCAAGAAGTGACAAAAGACTTCATTTCAGAAAGTTCCTGCCCTACTAAAGACAGTTCAGATGACCGCCAGACTTGGGAGTCATCAGAAATTCTCTATCGTAACAAGGTAGGAAAATGGACAAGAAGCAGAGCGTCCTGTTTGTTTGACATAGATGCCTGCCACAGATACCTAAACATCGCATTGTGGTGCCGGGATCCTTTCAAGTTGGGGGGTCTCATTTGTTTGGGCCACATTAGTTTAAAACTTGAAGAGGTAGCTTTGGGGTGCCTAGCTACATCAAACATGGAGTACCTTTCAAAATTCAGGCTGGAAGCCCCTGCACCCAAGGCCATGGTCACAAGAACTGCTCTCCGTAATCTGAGTATGCAGAAGGGCTTCAATGATAAATTCTGCTTTGGTGACATTACCGTTCACTTCAAATATTTGAAGGAAGGAGAACCAGACCACCATGTAGTTACTAATGTAGAGAAAGAGAAAGAATTTCACGTGGTCGAAGAAGCTTCTGCCCTGCCTAAAGAGGAGCACTTAGTTGGACAAACAGGCTCACCAGAAAATAAACATAGTTTCCAGGATACTCAGTTCCAAAACCCAACCTGGTGTGACTACTGTAAGAAAAAAGTTTGGACAAAAGCTGCTTCCCAGTGTATGTTCTGTGCTTACGTTTGTCATAAAAAATGTCAAGAGAAGTGTCTAGCTGAGACTCCTCTGTGTGGAGCAACTGAGAGGAGAATGGACCGGGCCCTGAAAAACCTTAGACTGGAAGGACAGGAACCCCTCCTGGGCCTGCCTCCCCGTGCTGAAACCGAACCTAACAAGTCAGTCAATAAAACAACAGGTTTGACCAGGCACATTATCAATACTAGCTCTCGTTTGCTAAATTTGCGGCAAGTCTCTAAAACGCGCCTTGCAGAACCAGGAACTGATCTCGTAGAACCTTCACCAAAACATACACCCAACACATCAGACAACGAAGGCAGTGACACAGAAGTCTGTGGTCCCAACAGCCCTTCCAAACGGGGAAACAGTGCAGGAATAAAGTTAGTGCGAAAGGAAGGTGGGCTGGATGACAGTGTTTTCATTGCAGTTAAAGAAATTGGCCGTGATCTGTACAGAGGCTTGCCCACGGAGGAGAGGATCCAGAAGCTAGAGTTCATGTTGGATAAGCTGCAGAATGAAATTGATCAGGAGTTGGAACACAATAATTCCCTTGTTAGAGAAGAAAAAGAGACAAGTGATACCAGGAAAAAATCACTTCTTTCTGCTGCTTTGGCTAAATCAGGTGAAAGACTACAAGCTCTAACACTTCTAATGATTCACTACAGAGCAGGCATTGAAGATATTGAAACCTTAGAAAGTCTGTCATTAGACCAACACTCAAAAAAAATAAGCAAGTACACAGATGAAACAGAAGAAGATCTTGATAGTGAAATAAGCCAACTGATGGACGCTCAGCCATTCAGCAACATCTCCGATGACTTATTTGGCCCATCCGAGTCTGTGTAACAGATGGACTGTTTAAACTTTCATATGGTTGGGGACAAGGTACATCTATAGTACCACGAATGCAACCATGTTTCGATCTTCTCACAGTGCTCTGGCTTGCTTTCTCAGTTATTTGTTCCAGTAAGGACAAGGGTGTAAAAAGTTGTTTTCCAGCACAAATGTGACCAGCTCACCAAATTGTTTTGGGTTACATTTATAGCTATGCTTTTTTGGGTTTATACTGGGAATTGGTTTTTACTAATTTATTTTTAACTTTTTCTAATTATGTAAGTTTAATTCATGTTTATATTATATGTGTGATATCTCACTGTTATTTTCCTTCTTAGTTTCTGAATTCGTGTTAAATAGATATTGTCCAACTTCTTGAAATCCTTTGATTTGCATCACGGTTATATAACAACAAATTTGCTGCATGCCCAAATTGACAACGGCAATCACTGAGGGAACAGGTTTTAATCTTCGTTTTGTGTTAGAAAGTTTGTCAGCTCCACTTGCTTGAGATTTTTGTTGTTTTGGGCTTGGGGGTAACTTTGTTTTGTTTTTGCCAAATGTAACACAAAAGCAGATGCTGCAGCTTTATTAATATGTTATGCTGATTTAGTAAAAAAAAAAACAACTTTTTTTTTACATATTGCTTGCTTTCTGTGCTGTGAAAGTTTTTTCTAAAGCTTTTGTGCAGGTGAAGTATAGTAAAAGTAAAATGGTACAATGAAGAGCAAGATGTAATGGGATAAATATAATAGAGAGTTGGTGAGGAATTCTGTAAACACTTCCTGAAAAACAGTAAGAGTAGGATTTTGAAATGCTTTCAGTATATCAGTGCTTTCCCAAGCATTTAGGCTGATTTTTCATCTTCAGGTTTCCCGTAGGAAATAAAGCGTGTACAAGGATTTTTAAAATCTCAGAAGACTATTCTTAAAATGACTGTGTTGATAACTGGGTTTATTCTTTTCTAATTTTCATGTAGGAATATGAAGCAAAGGAGAAGAACCAAGCAAAACCTATTTATTGCTTCATCTGGTGTCTTAACAGGCTTTAAGGGAATGATGATCATTCTGAATACTTTGGTAACTCAGACTGTCTTAATTATTTATAAAAAAGAAACTAAAATAGACAGTGTATATGGGAATTGATTTCTGAAATTAAAGCCTGCTCTCACACTGGGTCTATCTTATGGGTCCCAGTAATACACAACTGAGGGAAGATGTGAGCACTTGACCTCTCTTGGTATTCCTTAAAAGTCTGAGCCTGTTATATACCTATAAAAATAGATAAGTATGTCATGTTTTTTCCCTTTTGCTGATAACTGCTAAGATAAATTATACATAAACCAACATGAATTTTAAAGTAGGTGGAATAGCTCTTATGGTGGGCAGGAAAATGCATAGTGTAATAGCAAGGCTGTCCAGGCTTATACAGAGTATAGTTCAAGCTCTTCCAATAATGAGCTGTGCAGCTATAGGCAAGTCTCAGGAGGGCTTTGTGTGGCTGTTTCCCCATCTCTGAAGAGAGAAGAATCATACTTAAATACTCTGAACTACCTCACAGGATTGTTGTGAGGAAAAAACATAACTGCAAAAGCACTTAGCAAGCTACACAAATCAAAGCCATCATTTCTATGAGAAAAACATTTTTGAGGGTAGAAAAGTTATTCCATTTTTAAACTCTATAGCCAACTTTCATTCCTATTATTTTACTAAGGGAAATCTTAGGGCACTCAATATTTTTCTTAGCTAGGTTTATAACGATAGTATATCGATGTAAGCTCTTTGTCACTGTTTATTTAAGCATGTTTGCCTTCTAAAAGAACGCCCTCCTCATAGAAGACTTTCAACACCAAACTCACTGAAAACTAAAATGTTTGCCCCCATAGCACATGCTTGAAATGATCTGCCCAACATATAACCGTGTTTCATCGTGTAAAAAGATAAGTTGGAAGATGAGTGTTGGTAAGTTGCTGGTGTTTACAGATTAAACCACAGATGTCTGAGTGATACCTAAGCATGCTTCTGAAACTGATGTGTTTGAAAGAGCTATAGAAATAATGCAGAACTTTGGTTTCCTAAGAAGCTACTAATGTTTTAAAGTATTTAACTCTGCAGAAACACTGTTACGGGAAGCTCAGTAATGCTGCTAATGACATTTGTAAAATATACTGTTAGTGTAGTATGATATTTTTCTATCTACTGGGAGGACAGTAGCAGGCATCACAGTTGTACTTTAGTGCAAGAGGGAACACTCGAAATAGCCTAGAGTATAGTAAGGTATAAAGCTTCATGCTAAAAAGTTGTATTATATTACATTACTGATGTAATCTTGCTGCCATGCTATGTTATCAATAGCTTAAAATAATAATAAAGACTACCACAGGAAACAAGAATATCTTCATTTGATGACCTCTAAAAAACAAGGTGATTGCTGCATCTCTATAATAACCTTGCCTGGTATAATTTGGCCATGCAGCCAAGAGAACAGTCAACTTCTGCTAAACAAAACTGCAAAAGCAGTAAAGTTTAGTTGTTAACTTATTAGCTTATGAAATATATAGATTTGCTTCTGCTGTATAGTAATAGACTATACATAAGACCCTGTTTCAAAAACAATCTATTTAAAATGTATTTTCTTCATTAGTATTTAGATGAATGGGTTTGACAGAAATGAGCACTAAGCATTACTTTACAGTTGTTATACACTACATCTCCATATTAGCCTCATTCTTCAGTATCACAACCAACTGGAATATTATGTGGCTATTTTCTGATTCTGAGAGGAGGGAGTACTACCTGAATATTTTGGCAGTACTTTCAGGTTCTAAATTTAAGTATATCTACTTTAAGGCAGTTTGAAAATATTTCATCCTTACTAATAGTAAAAAATAAAATTGTAAGTTCCCTAAAAGTGAGTACATTTAATATCACTTTAACTTTAAAATATATTACCTTAATTTCTAAACTGAGATAATAGTCTCCCTTACACAAGAAAGTGGAGGTCTCCCTCATCTTTTTAGTCCTGGATGCCCTTTGAATTAAAACTGGACCCTCAGTCCTAGAAGCTGTACATATGCATCCTATTCCAGAACTTCCAAGGCTCCAAAGACCCTTGTCTTATACAGCATTTGTCAAATGACTAGGCATTGTGGCTATTTTTACCAGACCGTGATGTACAGTAGTAACAAACAGAAATTAGGAGAAACAAGGAAAATACTCTTTCCACGCACAATGTGACTAGTTGGATATTTCATTTGAAAACAAATTATGGGAAGACAAAAGGTATGGTTCACACTAACCTGCAGTGCCTTTTATCCAACCAATTCCTGCAAGCAAAATAGTTTAAGAAACTAATTAATATCCACAGTCAAAATAATACCTTACGAATTTTATTCCAATAAGAATATTTGGTTTATGAAAAAATACAGGCAGACATAGTGCATTGGCCATAAGATTTATTAAGTAAACTAGCTTAAACATGAATAGGACAGATACACTTAGCAGTCAAATGGAAGCTGGATAGTCATTGCTACCTCATGGTTTTTGTGTCTGTATTATCAAGTACAAGCATAAAAAGCCACCTCTTTTTAAAAAAAATGAATTCAGAGAGCTGTGTATTCTTTGTCCTGATACATACATAACTTCTTAAAACACCTGTTTTCAGAGTCTTATTAACCCAGACATTAGTCATATAAAAGACCTTAACTAAAGGTGTTTGGGTTTTTCCCAGATACAACATATATTTTGCTTCCCAAACAGCTCAGAGGGAACAAAATATATTTTTTCCCTAAGAATCAACAGCAGGTATATCTTTGCCAGTCACTCTTTAAGAAGAAGCTGAAGCCACAAAGGCAAAAATAGGAAGAACCACAAACAAGAGAATCAATTTATAGCACTTGTTTTTAAGGCTTTCCTTTGAAGTAGAACAATGCTACCTTTTTTTTTTTACCCATACAAGGAGCTCCTTCATTGCCACCTTCCAAAGTTGCAGACTTGTATAACTGTCCAATGTTATTGAATACAAAGCCTGTTGCTGTCAAACGCACTGCACTTACACACCAGACTACAGAGCAACTACCACCCACACAAAAGCTTGATAAAACAAAAGAACTGTTGGCTGCTTTCCTAGAGAGTGTAATAGTTAATTTGATTGAAGAATATTCTAAAGTTCTGTGCTTCTTGATGTCCAAGTTAACACAAACACAATTTCAGCTTAGCAAAACTGACATTAGGAAATTTTTGTTCATGATTACACGACCACAGAATCAACAAGCATTTGAAATATAGCCCACACACACACACACATACACACACACACACACACACAATCATCACATTCCAGTCTTATACAAAGTGACGTAGATTGACTGTTCACAAATAGCATTTGCTGGTACACTGAAAATTCATCAATGTTGCCATGCTTAGAAAAGTTACACTACCTTGCACACAGATGATAAGGCAAACATATATTTTTAGATGTTTGGATGTTCTTTTCTCTCTGGGAAAGGCGGTACACATCCTGGCCACCCAATTATCTTTTATCTGTTTTCCTAACATAATTAAAGACAAGTTCATTGATCTGTTTAAAACTTGCCTTCACACACTGGTGTCACTTTCCAGAGGCTAGAAAATAATAGCTGCAAACAATTTCAAAAGTAATAGATCCCTAGAAAAACACTCGGATGACCTGCATAGAAGTCATAGTTAAAAGTTTTATTTTTCAAGATATAGCAGCTACTAGTCTTGTAAGTTTCTTTTTCTAGAACTTGAACTAGGTGTTGATAAGCCTAACCATGCTTAGACAACCTTGACAGTTTAAGGTACAGATGCCCTACATTTTCACTCAATAAGACAAGCATGCGTCTTGAAAACTTGAAGTTCAAAACTACATTAGAGAGCTTTTCCCTACATTTAGAACATTGTTTTTCTCTGGATTTGTGTTCCTTTTTCTCTGGATTTTGTGTTCCTTTCCAACCACATGACATAGAAACATAATGTACCATTTCCTCTCCAGGTGAGTGATTATAGAAAACAAATGCTGGTGAAGATTTATAACTCCAAAAGATGACTAACTCAGTTTCTTGTCTTGCACTTGGGATAACTCAGTTTGACTCAAAAATATATCAGTACTAACTACAAGTTAACACTCTGTCAGTGTTGGTCCTTAACATGCTGTCTTAACATGGTTGTTTTTCAGACTTCTAGTTTCTTGTTGGAAAAGTCTCAGATAATGTGTGCTCTAAACACTCATTACCAATATTCAGAAAAAATAGATTTTTTGTCCAAGTGTTTGTGAATGTAAGTTAAAAAATTATATTTGATTTGGATTCAAATATTTATAGATTTACAATATACCTATTTCGTCAAAATATATTGTATAATATTTAATAAAATCAAATACATAAAATAAAGTTTTCAACACTATTTATACAAACCACTAGAAAAGCCGCTTTTTCTTTATAAGGCTGTTGGCAGTCGTTCATAACCATGGAAAGAAAGAATCACCTTTGGTTGTTTTACTCTTTGCCAGGGATGGATGGTGTGTGACTAAGACAACTCTGTACGAGTCATTTCACTGGAAACACTTCTAATACAGTTAAACACTCGGATGACTTAGAGAGTCTCAGTCACTTTCAGATTCCTCATCATCGCCTAACGGGTAGGACTGGATATTATTCTGGGTGTACATTTTTGTCTTAACTGGGCAGTTGTGATCCATGAGAATAGCCTGGAAGAGAGCAGGGTGCAAGAACATTACTTGTTATGTAATGATAACCACTTTAACCCACTGCTTTTAAGCATTCCTAGTTTTAAAGCTCTGCCATAATCTGCTGTGATCATCCGGTCACTCAGCTCAATCCAGGTGCTCATGATTCCATACTAAGTAAAAATTCCCGGCAACAGGGAATGGCAGAAGTCATCTCAGCAGTATTTTCATTATACCATTACACTCTACACTGGGGAGCCAAGTTAGGTGAGTTAGCTTTGAGAAGAGTTAGAATGTTGTAAATGGAGTCACAGTCTGCCCATACACTTCACGGCAACAGCACACTTCAAAAAGGTGTGTAAAGGGACTCAGTACAAACATGCACCAGCCTGAACTAAAATGCAATCCATTTGTAACCCTGGATCTGCTTCTGATGCCAACCATCAACACAGACCATTCTTATAATGTAAGACCATGTCACTGTCCCCTCATAGGTCATTTTCTGTCCCAACATCCCAGAACACATATTTTTCTGTACATGTATGCTCTAGGTCCTCTCCAGCATCTGGCTGTCCTCTGGCTCAAATGCATGGTTATCTTTTAACAAGCTTCATGCCTTTCTTTGTTGTTATTGAACATTAAAATATAGTGAGACTACAATATATTTTTTTCGAGCATTTAGTCAATCCTTTCAAGTGTCCAGAACCAAACATGTAATCTGATAATACAGCTGCCATTTATCATGCCAGAGATAGGCCAAGCACTTTAGATGTAGTGCTTCAGCTTCACAGTTGCCCTGTGGAGTAGACTGAGAAAGAAGACAGGAGTAAAAGAACTTGACCACAGGACATGCTTCCATCCTCCTCAGAGTCCCAGGAGACTGGCTCCAAGACACACTCTTCATCAAGTCCCTTAAAGCAGTGTATTCACATGTAACTTATGCATATATGTACATCCTCTATACATTTTATTTTTTGTATGTCTGCCTGTATTCAGAGCCTGAGTCTGTCCCTTAGCTTTTTTGCTCAAGGCTAGCACTCTACCACTTGAGACACAGTTCTGCTTCCAGCTGTGTTGGTGGCTAATTGGAGATTTAAATATATATATATATATATATATATGCTGGGCGCTGGTAACTCACGCCTGTAATCCTAGCTACTCAGGAGGCTGAGATCTGACGATCATGGTTCAGAGCCAGCCTGGACAGGAAAGTCCATGAAACTCTTATCTCCAATAAACCACCAGAAAACTGGAAGTGGCACTGTAGCTCAAGTGGTAGAGTGCTAGCCTTGACCTGAAGAGCTGAGGGATAGCACTCGGGCCCAGAGTTCCAAGTCCCATGACTGATTAAAAAAAAAAAATCTCATGGAGTTAATGGCCTATGCTGGCTTCAAACCTTGATCCTCATATTCTCATCCTCCTGAGTAGCTAAGGATTAAGGTGTGAGCCACCAGCACCCAGCCTTTTCTATAATGTATCTCTAGATAACTGACAGTATCCAATACAATCTAAACATGCTATGTAAATAGTTGTCATACTGTTATTTAGGAAACAATGAGCAAAGTACCTGTTGGTACACATTTCTTTTTCTGGATAATTTGTATCCACGTTCAGTTTAATTCACAGATGCAGAACCTATGGATACACAGTGTTGACAGCCCGCTAGAATGGGGCAGAGGAGGCTGAGGCAGCCTCAGAACAGAGTCCACCCTGCCAACACAGGATGGCAGCTGCAGGAGTGCAGACAAGGGCAGTGGAAGGTCATGTGCAACTTGAATTCTCTCCCTCATCAGGTATGTCTCACACCATCCTCCTCCACACAAACTGTTCCCAGTACCTGTCAGCACCATTTGCGGATCTAAAGGGATTTAAATGTTTCTGGTATTGGTCTTGTTGCAATCTACCTTGGTGTCTGTGAGCTGCTTCTCCTGCACATGGGATACACGACTCCACTCAGTACTTAACCTTTATTATTTCCCAGAAAATTCTCAAATGTCCTGAAGAAAAGGACTTCCTAGACCTCTGAGTCAGATTGGCAGCAACGGACTTAACTGTTTCTGATTATGCTGCTTGCTGAGTGAATTGATTCCTGTATTTAATAGAGCCCAATTTCTAAAACTAATTGAAGCAACAGACATTGTACACCTGAGCTGTTTCCCCATGTTACACAAAGGTTTAACCTCCTACTAACTATGATGTTCCCAGATTAGGATCTCACTAAGAAATGTGCCCAAAGAGCACTGTGGGGTGGAGCAGGTTAAAATGAAATTCCAAGTTTCTCCATCATGGGACAGTGCTGTGGGAAGCTTCGAGAAACTGCCGCAGTTACAAAGCAGACTTGTAAGCAGTCATTCAACTAACAGGAGCTTCCAAAACACCTAGTAGGCACCTGTCCATCACTTCTTGTGTCACCAACTGAATTGGTACAAGTGAGAACTGGTCCTCCAAGCTCACAAGTGCATTGCTTACTGAGGATTACGTGCCTGCTAGTTACACAGAGGAGGTGGGGGTTGGGAAGCTTGAAAGATAAAAGGATTTGAACAGCAAATTTGGTGGCAGATGAACAAAGCATGGATGATTTATCAAACACTTAAGTGAAACAGAGACACCAAGCCAGAAGATCACCAGTGATCTGATTACTAGGCAACATAAAACGTCCGCTGGGAAATCCTACCAGAACCAGGCTCTGCAAGACCTACAATGCCAGCTGTGGGCTTTGGCCCTTACTCGGCTCACAGGCAGCAAGATCATTGGAAAAGAATGGCAGTTGATGCCTTCTTTACAATTACCTTCCATCTTTTCACCCATCTGCCATTATACCCTTGTATGTAATCTTCATAAATACCATTGGTCCTAGGGATAGACATGGACTATGAACTCCATAAAAACTGTGCATCAGGGAAGACATTCAGATAGCCTGATTCATTGGCATCACACAGACACAAATGATCAGAATTACCAATACAGCCAAACTGTATTTGTCAGGTAAATGAAATATTATTTAGCCTTTTAAAACCTAGTTTACTGGCTTCAGACCCTGTCCAAAAAGACAATAGTTGTACTTTCTTTTTTCAGGAAGTTGCACATACTAAAATAAATCAGATGTATGTAATATTTCAGAAGTACCCTGAAAAGAGACATGAACAGCATCAAGTGGGTAAGTCGAGTATAGGAGAGACAAGTGCCCGTGGCCCACAGTATGCAGGTAAAATAAATCTGCCCTCCACTCACCAGTGGGAAAGAGGCAAAGCAACCTACAGCTGAAGAGGAAAGGGGAGGGTCTGGCACCTGAGGTGAGCAAAGTTCAGAAACTGAGAGCCCAGGCCCAGCCCCCACTGAATTCCATGCTCCTGTCAGACACAGAGTGGAACTGGAACCTGCAAGGCTGTGAAGACATGTCACCCCACACGAAGCACTGAAGAACCACGAGTTCCATAATGGGTCAGTGAAAGACTAAAGCTTTAAGTGAGTGCTCTAGTTTTAGAGACTTTGAAGGGTTCCAGCCTAAAGCAGAAGATTTATTTTCTTTAGTATGAGTAGAAAAAAACTGATGGCTTTATATCCACTCTAGAAGTGCCCTCCAAGGGGACAAATGTCACCCAACAGAATTTAATATTCAGGGCATATGTGGTCTCATCAGCTTCTGGCTGTCCAGGAACCAAGGTTGTGGCTTAAAAGATCTCACAAAACCATCTGGTAGAAAGAACCTGAAATCTCCAAATCACCTCTGTTCCTGACCTGGCAACAACTAAAAAGCAAGGGTAAGACTAGGTAGTCACTGGTAGCTTACATCTGTAATCCTAGCTGCCCAGAAAGAGGCTGAGATCAAAGCAGTTCAATGACAGCCTGGGCAAGAAAGTCCCTGAGACTCTTATTCCAGTTAATCAACAAAAAGCTGAAAGTAGAGCTGTGACTCCAGTGGTAGAACACCACCAGCTTTGAGAAAAAAAAAAAGGAAAAGCATCCAAACTCTTGAGTTCAAGCCCCAGTACTAGCACGTATACACACACACACACAACTAAAAATACTTTTTAAAATAATTCTTCAGCCTGTAAAGGAAAATCCACACCAAAATGCAACTCTTCTCAACTGGGTTTGTGAGAGTTAATGACTGCCTGTGCATTGGTCTTCTCTCTGAATAGTTTTCCTCAAATGGCAGTGTTGATATTTCTTACACTTGAAGAGGGACTTGAGTAATAAGGATTTGTGTCACCCCCACTCCCACCCCCACCCTACCACCATGCTGCCTTGGTTGATAACACTGATTACAAAGAACAGAGATCCGGTAAACCAAATGGAAGAAAAACTCAAGTGCTCACAAACTAATTCATGATTCTATAACATGTGATCTGTGAGAATAGCATTAATTCTTGCAATACAAAACAGCTTAAGCTTAAACTCCTTTTACCAGGATGCTGCTTAATGAAAGCATTCTTTTCTCAGGATGGATGCCTTCTTCTGGCTCAAATGTCCCTTGCACTTGAGAGCTGCTAATTCTGGACACCAACCCTTGTCTGTGTTGGGCTTTCTCAAGTGAGTGGTAATAAATCCTTTCTCCCCCATGGCACAGCTGTCTTGCTGCATGCCACCTTATCATTAGGTGCTATCGGCTTCCACCCGCTTTCTTCCTGCTCTGCTTGCACAATGAGCAGGCGGCAGCTGCTGGCCACTGCCCTCCAATGTTACTATTATGCCACTCAAATGGCATCCTCCATTATAGGCATCAATTATGGGCAGCGAGACACACATCTCACAATTTTAATGATTTATCTTGCTAGGCCCTTATTAAAGATGGTGGCATTTAACAGTGAAAGTGGCTTTCGGAAAACTGATTCTTATGGCTTTGCCTTTCAGAATTGTCTCTTCCACTTCCTCCAGCATTTTTCAAATGAACTGAACACTGGTTCCGAAGCAGAAAGGGAAGGAGTCCAGAGGCCTGCCTTCTTCCATTTTGCAGAAAACGGTAGTGCCTGGTGGGCCGCACACCCCCGCCCACTGTGCGCCCACCTCATGTATTTCCTCCATCAGCTCAGATAGGCAGTCATGCTGTCACCCACAGACAGATAACACCCCCCACTACATCTGCTGCCTTAACCAGGGACTCCCAGCCAGCAATTCTGGTGCCTGTGTGGGAAAAGGAAGCTCTGACATTGCAAAGAGAAGTCAGGCAGGACATTGGGGTTCTGCTGAGTGAACAGGGTCAGACTGAGCACCAGATAAACTAGGCAGAGTGAGTAGGAAATACTGAAGACAGTAACACGTTTACTGAGCCTGACAGAGGCCAAGCACCCTGATGAAGTCTATCATGTGATCCTCATTGTACTGCTCTGAGATCAGTGCTCTCATTAAGCCATGCAACAGAGGAAAAGACTAAGAACTATATAGACCCTACAAGGGGCGGCCCACAGTGTAGCTGCTCCAGGCCCAAACCAGCCCCTCTCCTTCGTCATGAGTCTGAATAGTCACCCAGGTGACAGAAGCATTTGCAGGTGATTCTGTTTGTCTAGTCAAAAGGAGGTGGAGGTAAACTTCATTCAACCTTAGGCAACTCATTCAACCTTAGGTAGCTCACGTGTCAGCTCTCCTCAGTGCTGTGTTGATAGTGTTCTGGCCCATTGGCCAACGTCCTCCGCTTCTCCAGCCACAGAAAGTAGTTGTGGGAATGGTATAGTGAGGCTATAGTGGAGTGGGAGTGGATAGAGAGAGGCCGGACACAGAAAGTCCCTGAGGAAAGGGAGCTAGAGATGCAGCAAGAGAAAGGAAAGGGGCCACCCCTACCCCAGGACCTCCACGGCACCTGCCCCCTTTCCTAGGGGTCCTATAGGTTGTGACAAACTCTGAGTTTGCTGGTTAAATCTCTTAACTCAAGGCACAAAGCCAAGGCTCAGAACTTGGTGCATTTTTAAGATACAAAGTATGAATTAATGAACCATGGAAAAAATGCTCCCAAATGTAGGCTATGCATAAGCTAACTGGAGGCTGTGCCTTTAATTCCACTTTTGGGAGAAACCATCAGAGTGGTTCAGGAAAATGCCAAATCATGAAGACTCACTCGGTTCAAGTTTCAGAAGGACTGCCAATGTACTTCCAAGAGAATCTTACAGAGGAGCCCCACATGTGTTCAAGAACAGGGAAGTACCCTCTCCCTGTAGCTCCCCCCCCCCCCCCCCCCATCCCTTCCATGGCATTCTCCTTATAGCAGGATGAGCTCGCAGCACCGGTTCTTAAAAAACAGCGCATCACTCCCGGTTTGAGTGGTTACCACAAACACTTAGCTGCTTTGGGTTCCGGAAAGTACGCACCATTGGAAGGGCATTCATTGCCATGGAGAAAAAAAAACCCACTGTTTGAACTTGTTCAAAAGAAGAACCCCACCCGCATTTTACATCTGGCTAGGATTCTGTCATGAAGTTATAGAATAAATGGGTCTCTATGCTCAAGTGTGTATCTCATGTATGTGCTCATATGTGTGCATATACACATACATACATGCCATGATTCTCCACAGGAAAAAACTTCTAAGATCATTACAGAATCTAGCATACAGCAAGGATAAGATATCAGCTATAACAATGTTGTCAGGGGAGGAGAAAAACAAGCAGCACCACAATGGCTGCTCTGGGGAAGCAGAAGAATTATGTTCAATATCAGCCAAAACCAGAGAAAATCAAATTGAATTGCTCTTTTATATGCAGCTGATGAAGAAGCTATCCTGTGTGATGCTAATCTATGTAAAAAATAAATTGTATTCAAATTTATGTATTTACTTCTTGGGGTGAAAAAAATCTCTTTAAGACAATTGTGGCGGATCACACATGTAATCCTATCTTCTCAGGAGCCTGAGACCAGGGAGATTGTGGCTTGAGGTCAACCCAAGGAAGAAGTTTGTGAGACCTCCATCTCAACAGAAAAAAAAAAAAAAAAGATGTGGTGCTATGTACCTGCCATCCCTGCTATTTGGGAAACATAAAATAGGAGGAACATGGTCCAAGGCTGGCCAGTCAAAAAACGAGAGACCATATTTGAACAATGAAGCAAAAAGGTGGTTCAAGTGGTAGAGCATCTGCCTAGTAAGTATAAGGCCTTGAGTTCAAACCCTTAATACAGCTAAACAAAGAAAATAATAACCATAAAAGTAGCTATGCACATGTGGCTCACACCTAAAATCCTAACTATTCAGGAGGCTAAGATCTGTGGTTCAAAGCCAGCCCGGACAGAAAAGTCCATAAGACTCTTTTTTTTTTTTTCAGTCCAGTCGTGGGGCCTGAACTCTGGCCTTGGGTGCTGTCCCTCAGCTCTTCAGGTCAAGGCTAGCACTCTACCACTTGAGCCACAGCGCCACTTCCGGCTTTTTTCTTTTTGCTTATGTGGTGTTAAGGAATTGAACCCAGGGCCTCATGCATGCAAGGCAAGTGCTCTACCACTGAGCCACCTTCCAAGCCCCCATAAGACTCTTATCTCCAATAAACTACTCAGAAAAAGCTGGAAGTGGTGCTGTGGTTCAAGTAGTAGAGCACTAACCTTGAGCAAAAAGAGACTCAGAGACAGTACTCAGGCCCTGAGTTCAAGACCCAGGACCTGCAAAAACAACAACAACAAATAAGAGTAGTATCAATCAAAGAAGTAACTTCCCTGTGTGGTTCAATCTAAAAAGGAATTTTCACCATTTACATTTGGAAGTTTTGCCCCAAAGGAGCAAAAATATATTTTGTAGAGCTAAAACAAGAGGAATCAATCCAGATAGCCATATTTAGATGATCAGGAAATGCTTCATCACACCCTAAATTTTTCTTACCATTTTTTCTTCCTTGGCAGGTGGACTTCGAAGAAAAAAGCAAAGAGGAGCAAAAGCTATATCGATTATCCCGATAATTGTCATGAGCCATGGAAATCCAATGGCCTTCGCGATAGCACCACCAGCAGAAGGACCTTCCAGGAAACAGAGAATTAGACCAAGTGTGTGTTCTTGACCAAAGGATGAAAGTTTCAATCTTTTCAGAACTATTATCTATTCTGTACTGAGGTAAAAAGTCACTTGGAAAGCTAATGTTCTTACCTATAGCATAACCCATACAGAAGGCCACATCCGCAATGGCGTACACACTCCCATAGACGGACACGTGCCGCAGGTCTACGAGGTAGCCCATGATGGGCATCATCGAGGAGTCCACCATCCCTGCAGACAGTCAGGGAACAGAGTATATGCAAACTAACAGAAACCAATGGCTGGCTGCTGGTGGCTTCTGCCTGTAATCTTAGCAACTAGGGAGGCTGAGATTGGAGGATGGAGGTAGCAGTAGCCAGTCTGGGTAAACAAAACTATGAAACTCTTACCTCCAGAAAAACAGCAGAAAAACAGGAAATGGAGGTGAGGTGTAGCTCAAATGGTAGAGTTCTAACCTTAAGTGGAAGAAGCTAAGCAAGACTGCAAGTCCCTGAGTTTAAGCCCCAGTACCGGCAAAAACCAACAAACAAACATGAATTGAATACCAGGGTCAGCTGCTCTGCTAGCTCCCCTCTGCCACTGCTACTTGCAGATCTCCCAGGAGCTTCCAGACAAGAAGAGTCAGTGGATGGATTAAGGTTCTGGGGGTGGAGCCCTGTTAGACGATCATTTCCTCGCTCTGTGCTTTACCTCACCTGGTCCCCACTGTTGTTCCAGTGAGGATACCCAGTCCTGGTTGTCACACCTTGCCATTATCAGGATCCATCCCAGATGCAGGCCACAGGCTGCATGGCGCCCTGGCCCGCTGCCTGACACCATTTTCTCAGCCACTAGGGCCCCCGCAGCAGTCTCATCTGCTTCTCCCCCATCCACACCCCACACAGGCCTCACACTCAGACTATGAGAGTTCCAAGGTAGAAGAAGTGGCCTTTTAAAAAGCACTAGACTTCGGGAGTGAATGGCGAGCATGAGGAAGCAAGTGTCTTTGCGTGTACACTCCACAGGCCATCACTGAGCTACACCACATAGCAACCATCAGATGTCCCCTCACTCCAAAAGAGAAAAAAAAAAAGCAATTTCACATGAGCTCACAGGCTCATGTGACTTACCGATCGCAAAACCAACTCCAAAGTTGGGAGCAATGAGTCCATAGATGTTTTTTGCAAAAGGAATCTGAAAGAGGAAAACAATGTTACAGTAAAACAACAAGTTATCCAATGCTAAATCATCTTGAAAAAGTCTTAAGGATTTGTTTGCTCTGAGGCCTTAGTATGCTTGTTCCCTTCTGAGAAAAACAGGAGTGGGGGAAAGGATGGGTTTTGCCATTCTTATCTTTAAAAGATAAAGGCATGGTATACTTCATGCCTGTAATCCCAGCTACTCAGGAGATAGATTGAGAGAATCATGGTTGCAGGCCAGGCCAGGTAATACAAAATAGTGAGACCCTATCTCAATATACAAGCCTAGTATGGTGATTCACGTCTATAATACCAACTATATGAGAGGCATCAATAGGAGGATCCTGGTTCAAGGCCTTTCTGGGCAAAAATTTAAGACCCTTTCCAAAACAATAAGTAAACAAAAAAAAAGGCATGGCTCAGGTGATACAGCATCTGCCAAACGGGGGTTTGAGTTCAAATCCCAGTACTGTCACACAGAAAAAAAAAAACTTAAGATTTAATTATGTAATAAAACATCTGAAATATTGTCTGACTTCAGTTGCCCTCAAGTGTTTTAGGTGCTGTAATGTTTAACATAGTGGGGAGAGAAAACTTAAAGGTAAATTATGTCATAAAATTATGTCCTAGCTACATACAGTGGATCATGCCTATAATCCTCAGGAGACTGAGGTAAGGAGGACTGCAGTTCTAAGCCAACCCAGTCCCCTGCTCCCCCAGAAAAGTTTATGAGACTCCATGACAACAGAAAAAATCCTCAGTAGCATGCACCTGCACCTGTCACCCCAGCTACAACAGGAAGTGTAAATAGAAAGATAGTCTAGGCCATCCCAGGTAAAAGAGTGAGATGCTGTCTGAAAAATAACCACAGCACAAAGAACCAAAGGAATGACATGCAGTAAAAACACATGTCTAGCAAGTACAGTGCCCCCAAATAAAATCATATAACAAAACATCTTAAATAATGAATGACATAAAAATATTCCCACTGAAGAATATTGTTCACAAGTGTTTACAGTGGTCCTTACAAAATGAGGACAAAATGAAAGACATAAACATCCACAAACTCAACTTGCTATAAAACATTGCTTAGTGAACCTCAACCAAAACAAAATCTGGTCGATACCAGACGGTCCCCACTTGTCAAAAGCCATCTTTACTCACACATAAAATACTAATTCCAACAACTGTCATTCCCAGCAGAGCACAAAGCCACCTGTCCAAAGACAAATAATGCACATCAATAAATACACACTTAGAATGTTTTTCCCCAATCCCAACTTTCAATGGAAATCAAGACGATGACTTGCAACAGCAAAGGCAGAAACATTTTGAACTTCTTCAGAAAATCACATCATTATTGGAATAGAGCAATGAATGCGGTTTTCATCTCATCTTACCTTCCCATTTTGTGTGCCAGTATCCCAAAAATATTGGTTCCAATGAGATAAGAGATACTCGCTGGCAAGAAAGCCACGCCTGTGAATTTATGAAAAGGACACCTTATCAGTTCTGATAGCAGTCACACGTCAGAAAAACTAATAATCATAGACACTGCACAGTTGATTCCAGCAGATGAAATGAAGGCCTAGGCCTGCACCCAAACAGCTAATATCCGGTGGCTGCCACCTCCATCCACATGGCTTATCCAGCCCAGAAAGCTGCTGAGCCATCCTCAAAATGAAAACCATTTCTCTATCAGCAGCTGCATCTCGTCTCCATCTCTGTCTGGTGGCAGCTTTACATGTGGACCAATGGGGGCAGCCTGATATCTATGTATGTGTCCCCATCCTCTTTGCAGTTCTGCGTGACAAGTCAGACACAGTCATTGAGAGAATTACAGGAAACAGATAAGCAAAAAGAAAACAGTCAAAATTATCCAAACCCCATGACTCAGACAGCTCAAATGATTTTACTCTTTCTTGAAATCTGATAATAAGGGACCTTTGGTGTCGGCAGGTATATAGTTCCCAATAGACCACCACACATACTCAAGATACAGAGTTTAAACTACTGACAATAATGAGCTGTGCGATGCATATTCTTGGTCACATAATAATCCATGAATAAGGTAAGCTTGGAGGCCAGATTTCTTTGCCCATAAGCAGTCAAAGCTGCTTTGTCTGCACTGTTCCTGAGGACTTCAAGAGATGAGTTCTATGAACAAAAATCCCAAACTAAATCCTTCTAGCCCAGGGAATTCTGGGAAATAATAATGAAGAGCAATCTTATTTCATGTGCCAGGGACTCATTTCTACCACACTTAGCAATAGGCAGTGGTCAAATAATTGTTCGGTGTAATCTCATTTAGCAAACATTTATGGGGGGCCTATGCCCAACCCAACGCCAGCCTGCAGCAGAGACAAATGACAACATGGCTCTCTAGTCACCACAGAAAGTGTCTGAAGGGAAGAATTAGATGGTGTTTGGACAGCAGTGTGGTCTTGTTAAGGATATAACAAAGCAACACAGGCACTGCAGGGGAATCCTGGATGGCAACTGCCCAGAATCCCCAGAAGCCGGGCACCTGTGGCTCACACCTGTAATCCTTAACTACTGGGGAGGCTGAGAGCTAAGGATCATGGTTCTAGGCCAGCCCGTGCAGGAAAGTCCGTGAGACTCCTATCTCCAATAAACCACCAGAAAACAGGAAGTGGCACTGTGGCTCAGGTGGTAGAGTGCTCGCCTTGAACTGAAGAGCTCAGAGACAGTACCCAGGCCCAGAGTTCAAGCCCCACAACCAACAAAAAGAAAGAAAGCAGCTGCCACTCCTCCAGCCCATCGCTGGGGCGTGAACTCTGGGGACCCGCGCTTCCAGTATTTGAAGATCTGGGTTTTCTAGATAAACTGGAACTCTGGACTCTTGCATGGAATCTGATTTTAAATGTTGATAATTTACTTAAAAAAAAGAAACACACACACACACAAATGCTGTGCAGGCCAACATGTATCGGCCAACCAAAAACAAAGTCCGCCTGAAGGTTTGAATGTGGCACACGGTCACACTGTCAAAGCCCCCAGTCAGTTCTAGTCAAAGGCAGTGGTCCCCAGAGCAGCCACAAAGGCCTACCCAGCCCCTCCCCCATTGAGTTGTGACTCCAGGGGCAAAGCCTGGGATGTGGCTGCAAAGCCAACGCCTTCAGTGAGGACACAACAAGCTCTGGCAGGAGCCACCACGAAGCTCCATCTTCCCTGCCGGCGAATGAGATGCCAGGCTCACAAGCGAGCCCCAGGTGCACAGTGACCTTATTTTCCAGGGACAGCAAGGGGTCGATGGCGACAGAGTCCATCCCTAGGTTCTCAAACCAAAAGCAAGCAGTGGATTGGGAGCCTGAAATAAGAAGTTCACTTCAACTTCAACTTGCCCTCTGAAGCCTGAAGGGATCACTTCAACCTCCAAAAGCCCTACAAGAATTCACGCACTGGGAAGTGGCACTGTGGCTCAAGCGGTAGAGCGCAAGCCTTCAGCTAAAAGCTCAGGGACAGCGACCAGACCAAGAGTTCAAGCCCCACAACCAACCAAAAAAAAAAAATTCACACACTTGTCCCACACGCCTTACAGGACTAGAGAGTCAAATTGTACCATAGGCCCTGGGTGAACAGCTCTTCCAGTCCCATTTCAGTCATTTCATGCATTCTTCCTATCTGGAACTGAGAGCCCTCACCTTGGCCCATACAAGAGAAGGTCACCTTGCTTTTGCTCTGAGTCCCAGGGCTGGCTCCCTGACTCTTTTGGACAGCTCTAACTATGGGACACCAAGCCCTCAACTCTCCCCTGACACTTTCACCCACAGTCCTAGTTTACATCCAGAGCCGTTAGAACAGCACAAGACTGCCCCATACCCAGTCTGGCCTGCCAGGGCCATTGCTCCCAGTGATGGTTCCCATCAAGTTCAACTTATTTACCTTCAAAATAGGATGCCTAGAGCGGACCCAGCCCCACCTCCCTTCAGCATTATCAGCTGGCCAATAAGCATCTGAGGAAGGAAAGGAGGACTGACTGCATCCTTCAGGGCTGGCTCCACAAGGGGTCCTCAGTCACCCAGCTCCTCATTCTCTCACCCCACCTGTGCCAGCCTCTCTGCAGTCCCCTTGCAATAATACCCCCATTAGGAGCTTGTAGCACACAGACCCGCTCTTGCTCTAGCCCCCTACCTCATCTTCACGGGAAGTTCTAACTGCAGAACAGGACTCTGCCTGTCGCCTCTGAAGAAACTGCACCATGTGCCTTTCAGACCATTATCTCTGCCCCCCTGGGCATCTTTTGAGTCTGCCGCACATTAGCTGGCTTTATCCCTCCCACATTTCTATCTGTTGTGAAAGTAACAAGAATGAATTCTTGTGGAGTCAGCTCCCACCAAATCTCACTGAATTAGTTCTGGGGAACAGACCTTTTTCTGGTTCTTTTGGTCCACTTGTCTTAAATGAGAAAATGAGAAGAAGAAAATACCACTTGCCTAGGTTGCTCTGGTCCAAGGATGGCAGTCTACTTGTCTTCTGGTATCCTCCGCTAGCACAGGAAAGCTCATGAAATCACAGCTGGCTAGGAACAGAAAGCCCTCTGCCTGGCAGACCAGTGTCTTTCCCTCCATTCCATTCTATCTCACCATACTGCACTTAAGACAAATGGGCCAGAAGGAAGAGTCTGGCTCCATTCTTCTCTGCAGCCTGTCCCCCAGGGCCTATGCTTTCCTTTGGGCTTCATCCTGAACTCAGCCCCTAAGCATCCAGATTGCCCAAGGGAGGTCATTTGATCTAGAACTTGAGGTAAAAGGAAAAAATTATTAATGGATTCTCTCTGGACTCATAACTCCGTCCTCCCAACCAGGTGGCAAAGGAAGAATTTGGGGTCACACTCACAAGGGTAGAGGTGGGCTATCATCTCTTCCTCTCTTAGAAACTGGCTCAACCACAGTGATGTGTGTCACATGTGCAACGTGTGTCACCCAGCTAAACAGACTATTTAGCTCTGCTTCCTGATCTTTCTCCACAGAAGATGGGGAGGTCCAGAGGCAGAATGAGTTCTGAGACTCCCAAACAGCCAGAGCTGGCCTCTGCCACGGGGTCCTTTGTACTGCCCTGCACAACCTGAGGTGACCTCAGGCATAGGGACCTATAGAATCTGTAGGCCCCAGCCCCCTTCCATGGGGACTCAGAAACAGGTAAGAAAGGCAATTCTCTTAAGGGAAGGCAAGCCTGCCTCCAAGGCAACGCACTGAAGCCAGCGCAGGTGCAGCACAGCTCGGGAATTCGGGCAAGCCAGAGGCCTACAAGATGATCTCCACTGACATCCAGCCTCTGCTATCTCAGTCCTGCGGCCTGGGGCTCCTGGTTGACCTTAAAGACTTAATAGAGAAAGCCTCAGGCTCTGTCTGGAGAAGATGGGGGAGCAGAGCAGCTTAATGCTCTGCACACAGCCAGGACACATTCAATTAGGATCCTAAGTCAGTTAAGTGGAGACATCCGAGCAGCTCTGCAGGTGAGAGCGTGCACGAAGCAAATGCAAGGAGCTGGGCTGCACGCTGCAGACCACACTTGCACAGATGGAGCCTTGAAAACACCCGAGACCCAAGGCACCAAGGACCAGAGGGAAAGAGAAGCTGGGTAATGACCTATGAGGGACTGTTCCTGTCTTCTATGAAGGTGCTCCTGCACACCGTTAGAAGCAAGCATCCCTCTCCCACCAAGCCCCATGCTTGCGTTAGAAGCCACTGAGGTTCAGAGGTTCTTCTTCCTTCCCAACTTCCAGGAAGGTCAGAACTGCATTTTCTGCCTAAGAAATGGCCTCAGTTTATCTTCCAGAATCCTTCCTCCTCCCCCGAATAAAGCTTGCTATTTGGGGCTTATTTGGGGTTTTACTTTTCACCATAACTCACATCTTATGAAAATCATGCTTTGCAGGGTGCAGTTTGGTGGGTTTTAGTATAGTCACAAGATTGTGCAATCATTTCCACTACCGGAACCCAGAAGATTATCATCACCACAAAAACTATCATATCCATCTCTGCCCCACCCTGTACTCCAGGCCTCTGACACTTTTTAAGGATTGTTTAGTAAAAGAACCTCATCTTCAGTAACTACCAAAAGCTAGAAGAAGAGGTGTGGCTTAAGTGGTAGAGCACTAGCCATTAACAGAAAAGGCCAAATGAAAGTATAAGCCTTGAGATTAAGCCCCAATACTGCAACTAAAAAACAAAAACAAAAACCTGGAGCTAACCCAGATGTGAAAGAGTAGGGACTGGCTGAAAGTGTATGACATGACTTTAAAATACAACAATATGCAGGCATTAGAAGGAATGATGGGGTGCCGGGCACTGGTGGCTCACGCCTGTAATCCTAGCTACTCAGGAGGCTGAGATCTGAGGATCGCGGTTCAAAGCCAGCCCGGACAGGAGAGACCGTGAGACTCCTATCTCCAATAAACCACCAGAAAACCGGAAGTGGCGCTGTACCTCAAGTGGTAGAGCACTCGCCT